ATCAAAAAGCCTCGGTGTTTCTGAGTTTAACCCGTGTGTCCACACAACAAGACTTATAGAAGCTTCTACAAATATCCGCCACGTGTCATTTTCCCTGACACTTTGCGGCTTTTTATTAGCGCGCGAAAAAAAAACAAACGCGCTCCCTTTGACCTTTGAGTTTGACTCTTTTCTTCTTCTTCACGCGCCATAAAAAGTCAAAAACTCACTCTTCACTCTCGTCTCTTTCAATTTCTACTCTCTCGTTACGTATATATACAAATCTAAAGCGGCAAATTCTATTATCCAATTAAAACTCAAACTGAAGATTCACAGAGCTAAACCGGAAACAGAATCGTACCGTACCGAAACGAACAGAGTTGTGTAATGGAGAAATCGTCTTCGTCTTCGATGCAGTCAAAGTACACAGGAGTAAGGAAGAGGAAATGGGGGAAATGGGTTTCAGAGATCAGACTTCCAAACAGTAGAGAACGTATTTGGTTAGGATCTTACGATACTCCAGAGAAGGCGGCGCGTGCATTCGACGCGGCTCTGTTTTGCCTCAGAGGAAGCGATGCGAAGTTCAACTTCCCTGATAATCCTCCGGTTATCTCCGGCGGAAGAAACTTGAGTCGATCGGAGATAAGAGAAGCGGCTGCGAGGTTCGCTAATTCGGAAGAAAATGTTCAGATAGAAGAAGAGGAGATGATGGTACATAGGGAAGAGTCTGCTTCAACTTCGGTTGCTTCGTCGTCGATGATGATTGATTCGGAGTTTTTGAGTATGCTTCCGACGGTTGATTCGGGTAATTTCGGTTTGGATTTCGGGTTGTTTCCCGGGTTTGATGATTTCTCTGATGAGTATTCCGGTGATCGTTTCAGAGAACAGGTCTCACCTACACGGGAGGAGTGTTATTATCACGGGGAAGAGAATTACGATACGTCGATGATTCTTTGGAATTTTTGAAAATTTCTTTGATTCGATCACACAGAATCTTGGAATTTTTTTATCTTTTTTTCTTTTGGAATATGTTTTGTCCAATTTGTTTCACTTCGGATCCAGAATTTTTATTTCGATCATTTTTTTGTCCCCAATTTTTTTTGGATCATATGGATAATTAAGGATTCATTTTATTTTCCCCCAAATATATTGTTTACGTTAT